CCCACCCCTGTCCCCTTCAACCACAGCAGCCCTGCCTTCATTCTGTATCTTGGGGGTCTGCCTAAAACTGCACTAGAAAAAAGGCACCCGTATCTAGCAGACGATAACACTGTGCCTTCAAAGCCTGAAAACTCATAATTCTATTCCCTCGTCTCTAACATGCTGAGAACGTCTGTTTCTGGTCAGAGGCGCCTGAGCTGTGCAGCAGGCAGCAAGCCTAGGCACCACGGTGAGACCAATCTCTTCCTTGAGTGATGGCCGGCCCTCTCTGTTAAGTGGGGGTCCCTGCTCCAGGCGTGCCCTCTCTTCCTTCCGCACACTTGATGCATTAACCATGCACCTCGACTGTCACCGGTCTTACTGAGACCAGCTTCCAGAGCAGGCAAAGCCTCTTTACTCTTTAATTCTCTGGAAAGTCATAGCTATGGACCAGGTGATCCTGTCACCCACCGAACCAAGCTGAATCAAAGTTTGTCGTCATTTCAGCACTCTGGTGGTACAAGACAGAGTGTAAAAATGAGACCGCGAAATATTGAAGAACAATGACATGGAAGAAGAGCCATTTCTGTCCTCAGTCTTGCCACTAGCTAGGTAACCCGGAACTTTGCTGACACTCCTGGGCTAAGGACCTTTCAAGCTCTAGGGAGGCAGTAGAGCCAACCAATTAGCAGCTCAGGCCCTGAAGTCTGACTTGCCTAGGTTCAAATCCTGATTTGGGCAACTTAATCCCTACACACCTGTTCTTTTATCTTTTGTAAAACGGGGATAATAGCAGGACCTACCTTGCAGGGTTGTGGGGCGGATTAACAGTTAACAGGACATCGAAAGCACCGAGAACAGTGCCTTGGACTGTTAGCTGATATCATCACGTTTCATGTCCTGAGCCTGCCCATGCCCGGGCTGTGGTCACTGCGTTAGTCAGGGGACAGATCCTGCTTTGTGGCTGATGGCTGAGCCTGGAGGGAGAAACCAGCTACACTCTGGAGCAACTTTCTCTTTACTCTGGTTATTTAAAGAATTAATAGTATTTGAGGTATTTGGGCCTTCGCTATACCGACATTTCGCTCACAACAAACCCGACGGGGAAGTACCAATTTCTTCCACAGCCAAAACTGTGCAGAGGGACAGATAATACATTTATCAGAAGCCCTTCCAGAATGAGGAAATGGTGTAAACGCCAATCCACATTTCTTCCTCTGATGCCCTCATTTCTTCCATTTATCTTTCCGGACCGTGAAATCCAAAAATCGACAGTTTTGAACTAGAACACATGAACCCAAGAGTTCATTACAACCATTTGCTAACAAAAATAATTTTCAACTCATTGCCAATTTCAACAGTTTTAAAGCAGAACATGCTTTAGTTTTTTCAAAAGATACATTAAATACGTAAGACGCTAGGCAAACTGTTCGGACACAGTTGTTCGTAAATACCCAACAGGAAAACGGTTAAGTGAGGACATATCCTGTACACCACATTATGCAGCCATCCTCATAAGGATGGACAAGGTAACAACGTGGAAGAATGTTCACAATTTAACTTAGGTGATTAAAATTAAATTAACAGGAGCACGTGGGTGGCTCAGGGGGTTAAGCGTTGGACTTTGGCTCACATCATGATAACACCGTTTGTGGGTTCAAGCACTGCTTCGGACCCTGTGCTGACAGCTCAGAGCCTGGAGCCTACTTTGGATTCTGTCTCCCTCTCTTCTGCCCCTCCCCCACTGGTGCGCTGTCTCTCTCTCTCTCTCTCAAAAATAAACACTGGGGCGCCTGGGTGGCTCAGCTGGTTAAGTGTCCGACTTTGGTTCAGGTCATGATTTCGTGGTCTGTGAGTTCGAGTCCCATGTCAGGCTCTATGCTTGACAGCTCAGAGCCTGGAGCCTACTTTGGATTCTGTGCCCTGCCACCCCTCCCCCACTCGTGCTCCGTCTGGCTGTCTTTCAAAACTAAATAAAGGTTAAAAATGTTTTTTAAATAAACATTAAAAATCTTTTAAATCTTCAAAATTTTTATCTTCAATTAAAACTATATGCTTAAAGTAAAAAAAAAAAAAGTTGTTTAGAAAAACACTAAAAGATGGGGCGCCTGGGTGGCTTAGTCGGTTAAGCGTCCGACTTTCGCTTAGGTCATGATCTCGCGGTTCGTGGGTTCGAGCCCCGCGTCGGGCTCTGTGCTGACTGCCAGCTCAGAGCCTGGAGCCTGTTTCAGTCTGTGACTCCCTCTCTCTCTGACCCTCCCCTGCTCACGCTGTCTCTCTCTCTCTCTCCTAGAAATAAATAAAATATTAAAAAAAAAAAGAAAGAAAAACACTAAAAGAAAATACACAAAAAGTTTAATAGTATCTATTCTCTTGAAGACCTTTATTTTTAATTCCCAAATTTTCTAGAAGCATAGGTTCCTGTTATAATGTTAAAAGGATATAATATGTAACATTTACAATATATATATATTATATATATATAATATAATATATTATATATATAGCGTAGAAATGTTATATATTATATATTATTATATATATTATATAACATTTCTACGCTAATATAATTCTTATCATAAAAGCATACATTCCTATTATAAATACTTTCACATTTACATGCTAAACTTTTTAAATTTTATATTTTATATGCATATACATACACACATATATATAGGTTTTCTGAGGCAAATGGTTTTGAATTAGGTACTAGACAGCTTTCAAATTTCATTGAAAACTTGAAGACTGGCAACTAATTCATAGAGAGTATTAGTCCTGGTACCACACAGAGCCACCAGTTTTGAAATTCTTTTTGTGCCTCCAGCCAAACATATTCTTCTAGGCAGGCAGCACAGGGGAAGACAGCGCTCACCTTCCCCTAAGCTTTTGTCCAAAGAATGCATCCTGCCTCCAAGCAGCCACTTTTCAAGAAAGCCTTCATATTTCATTCTCTCCTCTGAATTCCACAAAAGTTACGATAAACTGAATACGAAGTTATCTCCAACTCGGTCAAGAACTCATAAATGTCAGGATTTAAAAAAGGCAGAGAAAGTAACATACCACTGATTACGCAATAGTTTTTTCTTGTCAATCTTTTCAAGTTATGTATCACTTTGGTTTTACACAAACTAGAAATTCCTATGAGTTGTAATCTGGGCATTTTCAGTAAGGAACTGGAGAAGAAAGAACATTCTCAGAGTTGCAGCCACAAACACGGGTAAATTGCTTCTACTTTCTTGTTCGTGCACTTTACAAGTGTGTTTCTGTAAAAGCTCTCAGAGCCCCCTGAAGTACCACAATGCTGAAAATTAAACTCAACCACGGGCACCTTCAGATCAGCTCTGTTCCCTGAGATTTTGTCTCTAGGCATGAGTGCCAAAGGAAAGTGGTCCTAATGGGTTTGTCTGACCACCAGGTTGGAATGACAACGTGCAGCAAAAATTCTGATACTTCCAGCCTACCTCCTGGTTAACCTGCCTAGGAGACAGAAAGGCTTGAATACCAATATTTCAAGGAAGGCCACAGGAATACCAATAGCTTGGAGCTGCCTTAAAGGAAGTGCCCCTGTATTTTTTTAACACAAGAGTCTATCCCATTGCATCATCCAAACGATACTGTTCATAAAACGTTATTAATGGATTCTAACTTAACAGTATTTGGATATAGGAGACAGTGCATGCAGACAAATAATGAGCTTATGTTTTATGTGGCAAACCTGCCCAATAAATCTAGCAACTGACCTTAAAAATTATATATGTTCATCTCAGGTTATGAAGTATCAACATCTAGAAATGACTCATAGTCCTACAGTCTCGCTCTTCCCAGAAAAGTGAAACTTGAAGGGAGAGAGGGGCAATCCCCAGCTGTGATGACAGAACAATCCACTCTTTCCCCAGCCCCTCCCCTGAACACAACCATTTTTCACAAGGCAGAGACCTCAAAAACGGAAGATGCAGTAAGGCCTGGACATCAAGCATGACACTGTGGTACGTGAGCACACTCTCAGTGAGTTCAAACTTCATTTGCAAGAGAGAGAGCTCTGAAAATACTTCTATGATATGAACAGAAACCTGTCCCAACCTGCACTTGTCACAACGCCCCAAGTTAAAAAGCCCAGAGATCTCTTTTTAGTCAGGCTGCCTGTGGTAATAATGAAAATATTCCCAAAATATGCATAACAGAGACAGGAAGGAAATAGGTCAAAATGCTTCTAATTGTGAGGGAAGGATGATTAAAAAAAAGTTTCTTCTGTTCACAGTAAATGCATAAAACACAAGTCTATAATACATGGTCTATAATATGCCTATACATACCATACGGGGTGGTATGAGGTTGGCTACTTTTGGAGATTTTCTTTTTCTCCTCCTCATAGAATCTTAACTCAAGAAAGACTTTAGTTTAATGCAGGCCTTTCACAAGTAAGGAGTCAAGTTTCAGCCTGGGAAGCGATTCTCCCAGTTGAGTGAGGACAAGAACGTCCGTCTCAGAGACAGGCTCCACGCTGAGGGGAAGCAAGATTTCCTTTAAAAGTTCCACCTCCTCAAGCCCGCCAATCGGCTCATCTAACCTGCCATCGCCGCTTGAAAATACAGAATCAACCAGAAATTTTCGATGGACTTTTTGTTTGTGTTAAGCAAATAACTGTTACCCTGTGATAATCACAGGTGAAATGTGCGTCAGAAACTGTGGGATTTCATGTTTTTCTCAGGCTAAGCAAAGACAAAAAATAAAAGGGTGACTGTCAGTCGGGGGCACTTTGGATACTCCTGCATCAAGATGCTTAAATCTGTTAACTTTAAAAGGCAAACAGCACTTTCACAATGGTCTTAAATAAGCTCCATAACCATGAAAGTAGATGGGGTGGGGAGGGGGTCTGTGATTCTAAACACACACTAAGTGTCTGTCTCTAGGCTCTAGTCCACGTGTCCATTCAAGTCATTTACCACCACTCTCTGTCTACGCCGCAACGTGATGGGTATCATCGCTGCTTCCTAATTTCAAAAAAACACCAGGCTTCTTACATCGATGACTCCAACACGGCTATGGGCATTCCTCCGAAGACACCGCGAGAATTTCTACTTTTGGCACTGGCTTTTGATGCTGCAACCGACCCTCCTACAAGCGCTCCGCGCAGGGGCCACCATCACGCAGAGCGAGCTGAACGGTCCGGCTCCGGTGATTTCAGGCGCGGTCCGAGAGCGCCTCAAAATCCCTGTCACCGGGACAGGCGGGGTACCATCCGCCCCGGCCCAGCGGGACCATCCCTGGCATCTGAAGCTCGGGGTCCGGCTTCCGGGCCGGGCGGGTCCCTGCCGTCACACAAACAAGAGGCCGGTCCCGCGGCGCGCGTCACCCGGACCCCGCCGTGCACCAGCCCCCGCGCCCACGCAACCCGCGGGAAACGGCGGCCGGGCATCCCCGGCTCCGGCACAGGAAGCGGCGGCGGCTCGGGCGGCCCGAAGGCCTCGGCTGCCGCGAGAAGGGGAGCCGAAGGCAGAGGCCGGAAAAGCGGAACGTCCCCGAGAGCCGAGGGGCGGCTCACGCGTCGCCGCCGCCTCCCGGACTCGGGCCGGCGGGGCAGCCTGAGCCCAGAGCCTCCGCCGAGACCACCGGCGCCGCAGCCAAAACGCGCCTCCCGGCGGCAAGGGCACTCACCTCCTCGGCTGGCCGGGCTGCAACGCCGCCGGCTCTCACCGCAGCCCACTGCCTGCCCAGAGCCCGCTCCGGATGCTATTTAAGGGCGCCGCCGCCGTCCGCTGCGCCCTGGCTGCGCCCCAGCCTCTGCCGCCCCGGAGCCAAGCTGCGGCGGGTGCGCCGGCCGCTCCCGCCCCGCTGGCCCCGCCCCGGCCGCAGGCCCCGCCTCCGCCCCAAGCCCCGCCCCCGACGCGCGCCCGCCTCTCGTCTGGGTACGCGCGTGCCGGGCTGCCTGCTGGCGGGTGCAGGGAGGCGGCGAGCAAACTCAGCAAGAGTCGCTTCGCCTCACCTCGATTTCATAGTGAATCTGTGGAGGGCAAAGGGTAAATTGTAGAGCCTCAACCTTGAAGCCCGGCCAGCCCTGGGGTCCCGTTGCCATGAGGACCGGCAGACGCCCTTTGGCATTTTCCTTGCCCAGTTGCATGTCTTGCTGACTTCTTTCTAGGCAGGCAGGGATTAATGAGGGGACGGGCGGGGGAGGGGGGGTGTTGGATCCTGGTGGCCAGAGGGCTTCCCTTGCCTTTATTTTTGGCATCCACATGCACAATCCCTTTTAACCCGATTTCACCACGGTTTTCACATGGAGTTTCGCCATAGTCTCTGGCTGGGTAGACTCTTGTCTGGAGTTCTGCAATGCCCTGATCGTGAAGCAACCCTAAACAAATCAAACGGGTATAGTGAGAGCAGAATGCAGGCTTGATATTGCTCAAGGGCAGTATTCATCTGCCAAGTTCTTGGGGCCTGGATATCCTGCTTAGGGGTGGCTGTGGTTTTGAAGGGTTCTGCCTCCGTGCCTTGCCCGTTTGGAATGAACTGAGGCACAGAGGCTGAATGCTAGTGAGGGCGAAAGTACTCTCGGAATCGTGCAATCTGCTTCCAGAGCATATGCATATCATAACCACGGGACTGGACTGGTACTTAGGTTTTTGTGAGCCTGTGCTCACTGGAGGCCTCAAGCTTATTGAGTTCCCTGGAGCAAGCAATATCTTAAGAACTTTCCTCCCAAAGTGAGCCAGGCATCCCCAGGACAGCAATGGTGAGGGGCGCCGACACTCCAGTGGTCTCTGTTAACAGTTCAGTTCTCCAAGATCCCCTTCTACACACGGACTTTCCATCTAAAATTAGAAATGCCCTCCACTTTGGTTTTTATTGCTTTCCACTGGGCTAATCCTTGGTTTCTCTGCTTGGATCTCTCTCTCCTCACCCATGATTTCATCTGAACGTCTTCCTTTGCTCTTGTTTCTCTAACCAGTCCTTCAGCTTTTCCACAGGCCCATCCAAGTTCTGTGCTGTATTGGTTTGTAACCTGCCATTATGCAGTATCACAAAACAGGTAGTTTAGACAACAGAAATGTATTGTCTCACAGTTCTACAGCTGAGAGGCTCAAAATCAAGGTGTGGGTACGGTTGGTTCCTTCTGAGGGAGAAGGGAACACAACCCAACCCATAACACTTGACAGCAGCCACTGGCTGTCTCCACTGTCCCTTCCCCCTCCAAGGCACATTTCTCCTAATTGGCATGCTCTTCCCGGGTTTCTAGCCCTAGTGCAGATAATTTACAGTGCTAGCGTAGGAAAGACACACAACCAGGGATTAGGTCTCAATTCCTATTCTCTCTGGTAAAGCTGCTGCATGACGTAGGGAAGGCAAGTTCAGGTTTCTGGACTAAATTAAATAACTTCTCAGGTCCCTTTCAGTGCTAACACTTCAAAAAAAAAAACTTATCTCCCCTGTCATTTCAAAAAGTTTCACACTTTATGGGGTTGTCCTGTGACCACCAGATAAAGATTTTGAAGGTTAGCATATTGCATGGTGGTTAAGAACATTAGCTTCAGAGTTGGGCAGTAAGCCCCATCTCACCCTCTATAAGACAGGAAGGATGGTACCTACTTTAGAAGGGTGTCACAGGGACTGACAGCCCGTGGTCTCAGTTTTGTCATTAAATGAAGGTTCTGGACTCCATGGTTGGGAGTTCCATTTTGTGACTCGGGGAGAAGCAGGAACCCAATCTTAAGCCTCTTTTCCACCTTCTTTTTTCCCAAACATTTCTGTAGCCAACTGAACAATAGCCAATTGGATGTTGCACAATTCCTAATGAAGTTTGAATCTCTCTTCTCAGTTGTTCTTGGCCCCATTTTGACTTGATTAAAATTTTGTGGCTAACTCTGGTTAGATCCAAATCTATAGCTGTCTAAAATCAACCTTCTAGAGAAGCTAAAAAGAGTCCTTTTTGGGACAAGCTGAGGGACAGGTTGACAATGACCTTGTCTCGAAAGCTCCCACTTGTGACTGCCAACTGCAGAGTTGTGACAATGAATGATCTTCTATATCTACTGCTTTTGAGCATGGCCATCTGAAGTGTAGCCACATGAATTAATAGTGGCCAATGTGCTTTTAATTCCAGACTTTGGTAAGTGGATGGTTAAAGAAAGGGTTAGCATCAGTGGCTGGGTACTTGTCATTCAGTCTGTTTTGAGGTTACGTCTACATTAGGCACATATCCATCTCCCCCATGAAACTGTAAGTGCCTAGAGAGCAGGCAGTGTATGCCAATGTATTTCCACCAAAGTGATGTCGGTCTGTAACTACTGATTATCACATGGTCTCCAGTGGCCCTAATTAAGCCATACTCCTCCCTTCTCCCACACCCCTTTTAGTGTTCAAATGCACCTGATCCACCAACTTCATTAACTTTATGAGGAAGAGTTAGCCTACAGCTGTGTAGGCAGTAACTTCCATGGGTGCACCCCTCTTCCTACTGGGTGAGTCCACCAGGTCTCCTAGACACCCCCCCCCCCGCGGCATTGCAGTGCTGCTTGGACAGAGTTGTTGGATGAATCCAGGACTTCGAGACTCTATCCTGCACCCCCACAATGCGACTTCCTATTTCTTGAGGTGGTATGAATATTGTATTTAGTCAATGTCAAATAAATTACAAGTACTCCAATCTTCCAATTCAACTAGCTTCTCATTGTCAAAATCAAACTCTTTACAAGAACTTCTAAGATGCCCTTCATAACCTACCTCTGCTTTCCTACCAGCCAGCTCTCCAGACACTCCCCCATCCAGGTGGCTGGAAGTGCATGCAGGGTAAGAGCAAAGGCTTGGAGTCAGACTGCGTGGATTCAAATTCCACAACTTACTGGTTCCAGACCTTGGGCAAGAAACCCTCTACTCTCCAGCTTTCTTATCTGCCAGTGCATATAATACTGTATTGCGTCTGATCTAAGTCACAATCAATTGTAAGTTGCACCATTATTTTATGTATCCCTGAGAAAGGAAAAAAAAATGCTGCCCACTATAATTACAACCTCATCAGCTGGAAGATTCACCGTATATTGCTTAGCCTTCACTGCATAGCAAATCACTGTAAAATTTAGCGGCTTAAAACAACAATCATTTATTAGCTCATGATTCTGTGGCTTGGCACTTGGGCTGGTTCAACCAAGTAGTTCCCCTGCTGGTCTCTCCTGAGCTCTCTCTCCTAGCCAATCGGCTGGTGGATAAATGGGCTGGATGGTTCAGGAATGGCCTCACTCACTCGGATGTCAGGATATTTGCTGGGGTCTCTTGGTTCTCTTCTTCGTGTCCACTCCAGCAAGCTAGTTCATCCGTCCTAAAATGGTGGTCTCAGGGCTCCAAGCTCCGCAAAGGGGACAAGCCCCAGTGTACACTTGCTTTTCAAACTTCTGCTAGCTTTGTCTTTGCTGCTATTCGATTGGCCAAAGCAAGCCACAAGGCTAACTCAAGTATCCACGTGGGAAAGGATTACCCGAGGGCATGGATTCAAGGAGGAGAACTACAGTGGCCATATTGCAAAAAGTCTACCATACATCCTGATGCCAGAGATATTAAAATCTGGAAGAAACCCACATGTGAGAATACACCAAATATAGTAAGAGTGGTGGATGTTAATGATTTATTATGGTGATCATTTCACAACATACAGATATGGAATCATTATGCTGGACATCTGAAACTAATATATATTGTATATATCAATCAAGTCAACCATATCTCAGTTTAAGAAAGTAAGAAAGAAACATATTAGCTAAAGTGAAAATAGAGTCTAAGAATATTTAGTTTGTAACTCTGTTGGTAGAGGGACACCCCGTGTTTAAAGAGATGAAAGGAAAATGTCTTGGAAATCAGGCAAAGTCATTAGCTTCCAGCAGAGGAAAACACCTTCTTCTGGGACTGGAGAGAAAAATGGTACAAATGGATACAGATGAAGTTTGGAAATATTAGAGCTGAAAGAGGAAGGAAGACTGCCCTCTACTCTTGTGACCAAAATAAATCCAATATTCTACATCCAAAGAACACATCGTCGTGATGCCTTTCCCCTCCCCATTCCTCTCGTCCTATGCTCCCTCTGGTGTCACAGAAGAAATCATGTTTCCACAGGAAAAATCATGCTTCTGTGAGTGTTAGTTAGTCAAGGAAATCGCTCATTGGTCAATCTGAAAACATGCATGACTGTCCAGTTCAATGGACAACAGTGGTATGTACACCATTTGCCTTAAGAGTTTCTACCTTTGAGCATCCCTGGAAGGTCCACCATGTG